GGAGATGCTGTAAGAAGAGCTGCTTTTCTGCTTCACTGTTACCTTTTCCTTATTTGAAAATGGTTATCTTCTCACATCAGTCTTCTCTAAATTCAAACAAACCCAATTCCTTTCCTGGTAGGTCATGCTTTCTAGATCTGATAACTTTCTTCCCCTGGATCCTCTCCAGCAGTTCTTTCCTGAAGTCTTAGCACTCCAGCTGTGGATTTGCACTGCTGAACAAAGCAGAAGAAAATCCCATGGGCCTGTTACTTTTCAAGCCTTAGGAGAGAATTTGTCATCTGCAAATTTAGAATTAGTTGGTTTTTACTCATCTGCTCATTATTGTCTATGTTTATAAAAAGCTTGTTGGATTCCCAATCCCATTGTTTTTGTAGAGCTGAAGCAAAGATGAAGTTGTTCCCAAATAAAAAGTATTCTTAGAAGCGTAATTAACCACTTCAGCTATTGAAATCTTTTCATCAAGGATTAAAGTCTTTCTGGCAGATCTGTTTTAGAAATATTGGGCTAGTTATAAACGTTCTTTGGTATCCTTCTGAAGCTGGTGTGGATAACAACACTGGTGCTTTCTCACCTGGAAACTCTTACAGCTGGCACTGCAGGTTGTCTCACAACTACCTGTACTCGGTCCCCTTCAAGCAGACAGAATTTAGAAGACCAATGAGACACGACTGTTGGTTGTTTGGGTTTTTTTGGAACCAAGGCCATGTGTTTGGTCTTGTATTTCTGCACCAGTACCTGCAGAATACGAAACCTCTTCCAGTGGCTACGTATGTATGCAAGTGATCCCCCCATATAGGTACCCTTCAGCACCTGGATGCTGAAATTCAAGAAAATAAGTTAATTGAACGTGCAGGAAAAACAGTTTGACGTGTGCAGGATGTTATAAAATAAGATTCAGCTCAAATGACTGTTGAAAACAATGTTTGTGTGTTACTACTTCATTGCATAAGTACTGAAAGACACGAAATGTACTGAGGTCTGAGATCTGCGCTTGTCCTACACTTCTGTGAAAAGCAGTTGATCTCAGCTGCTGGTCTGTGAGCAGCAACTTTCTGGGTGAGTTCAGGTCTGCACTGCTCATCAAGTGAGTGCATCTGAGAATCTTCTATGCAACCAAATAAAGCATTCACTTGATAAGATGTTCCAGACTGCTGTTTGGTTTTGGTTAAATTCGTTGGTTTGATCTGCTCTGTAGCTATCCTCCTTTCTCTGAGTTTCACATTTCAACCATGTAAGTAGTCTTGTACCTCATGAAGCTGTATGAAATGGGTATTTCTTATAAAAACATATTTAGAGAATAGTTTCTGCTTTGCTAAATAGAAAATGCCGTGTTGTTTGGGAGGGGAACATATCTGTCACCTGTACAGGAGCAAGGGAAAAAGAGAGATGCTTGGAATTGGCTGAACTGTGTGGGATAGAAAGTAAGCAGAGGAAGATGTATTCTGAGTGGCAGCTATAGGAGCTTACCTGCAGGGGAAGTAACAGAGAGACACTGGCATTAAAAGGAAAACTGTGAAGAGAGACCTCTGGAAGCACAGCAGTGTGTCTTAAGCAATCTCAGAAAGGGCAAAAAGGTTAGCTGAAACATGGTGATGTTTTAAAATTCTTACTATTGTTTTGCTTGGTGGTTGTTTTCCGGGGTGCATGCAGGTGTTTCAGTTTTGCTAAGAGGAAATACAAGCATGAAATTGGTTCTAACAAAGTTAACATAAAGCAAATATAGAACTCTTCAGCCTGATGTGCCCTGTGTGGAAAAGGAACATTTTTGGTTGGTTGTTTATGTTAATTGCCTCCAGGAAATTAACTCTCCCTCCACTAGAACTTGGTATTATGAGGCTTGAAGTTTGTTAATATAAGGAAGGCTTTTTTTTTTTTTTTAATTGGACTGGAAGTCCATATTTCTTCCATGAGATTTATAGCTAGTTAGAAATGTGCAACAAAGCTCTTCTATTGACAGCTCGTATTATTTTTGATAATCACGTTGAACTGCAGCATAATAGGTCTGAAATTTTTCATCACAGTTGGATCTTTAGAATTCAAGCTAAGGACAAGGTGGAATTGCCTTTTGATATATTGAGCTGGGCTGGAAGTGATTAAATGAGTAGCTCATTATTTTCCTGCAATAAGAGGGAGCCATTTAGTGGCTGCGGTACCAGATTTTCTCAGCCCTCTAGCTTGATGTTCAGCATCAGTGTTTACCAAAATGGAGATAGCTAAAAAGAACCTTTAGAGAAGAAGAGGATTTTGGGGGGAGAGAGATTGCTCTCAACCCAAATCATACAGGGATTCTGGAAGAAACGTTCACTCTGTTTTAGAGGCTGCTATAGTAGCTACTAATATCTGAAGATGATATCCAAGTAGGTAAAAAGGGATGGGAAGGGAAGAGATAGCACAGTAGTGAAAATTCACCAGTAAATGCAATGCAAGATCTAACATGAATATCAAGTAACAATTACTTTCGAGCCTCTCTGTTTTCCTTGTATGCATTTTAATTATTATTTTGGCATAATATAATAACAAGGGCTGGTTTATAGGATGATAGTAAGACTTGGGGCTATGGCTGTGGCAGATTTTGTAAGCAGAGCACTGCTGAGCTGCATGTGCTGCCAGTGGCTGTGCTGCACGTTGCAGGATGCAGTGCCCATGACTAAGGAGGGGAAGGATTTCCTTCCCAGTCACCTTCAAGGAGCTGACCAGGTAAACAGTCCTGCTCTGTGCTGTTTTCTGGTGAAGTGCTGAGCTGTGGTCTTGAGCATTTGAGGTCAATAAAATCTCCTGTAGCCCTTTTCCTGTGCGCTGTAGCAGTAAAACTGAAAACCTGCTAATTATCCTAGTCGCCACGTAATTACTTGTCATGTACAAAAAAATCCCCCTGTATTTGAAGACTTAAGTAGAAATGATCATTTTTGTCAGTTCTTGCCCGTTATTGTTGTGCTTCTGTTTCAGCTACAAGGTTTAAATATTACAAGGGTTTAGTCAAGCCTTCTGCAAATTGTAGAAGACAGCGCTTCAGTGTTTTACGAATATTTCCATCTCCCTCTTTGCAGCGAGTGCTCGTTGGACAATAAGTGGTGCATTTGAGCAGACTTTCCGCTTGCACCTCATTTGTGCATAGCTCCCTGTGAATCCATCTGCTGCCTCATTATCACTTTATCAGGCATTCAAGATGCTGTGGTCATCTGTGAGGTTACCGGTGGGTAGGGACCAACGTTGTCCTAAGCTGTGCTGAGATGTTCAAACCAGTGCTAAGTACAGGAATGCCTCCTTGGGGGAAAAAAAAAAAAGCTGTGCAAGTAGGGAAAGTAAAGCTCTAGGGAGTTAATCTCACATGTGCTCATACTTCTGGGTTCCTACTAGAGCCCAGGGCAGTGGAAATACCCCATGCATTATGAGTTGGACTGGTAATGGCAGTTAGCGAGATGAGATGCGACTACTCCCAGTTTCCGCTGCTGTTTTTTTGTTTGTTTGTTTTGTTTTGTTTTGTTTGCATGACCCCATGGCCTCTGATAGACCAGACTGTCAGGTTTTGAATATCCAGTGACTGGCTGGTTGGGGAACAAATTTCTTCTGTCAGAGAGTTCTTGAGCTCAGGTGTTTTGTCAGAGCTGCTGCAGCCTCCAACTTTCCCTTTTCTTCCATCAGCTGTTTGCTGTTCTGCTGCTTTTCACCTGTTGGTTTAGGCCTCTCCTTCTTTGCCTGGCCTTCTGAGCAACTTGTAGCCGTCAGTAGCCACATTCCAGTCATGGGAATCATCCCACCAGGTTTCAGTGACTGAACTACATCATGATTTTCCAGTAGCACGGTGGCTTCCAGCTCCTCCTGTTTGTTTCTCAAGCTACACGCGTTGGTGTAGAGGCATTTCAGCTGGGCAGCTGGTCTTGTCACCTTCTTAGAGGATAACTCCTTAATTCCTTTGGTATTTACCTTTAATCTCCCTGTTGCCTTCATCATCATAAGATGCAACAGGTTGAAGGCCTCCCCCCTCCAGCAATGTCTCTTTAACGTAGCTGTGCTATCCTGCACCTTGTTGTGGGCAGGCTCTGTTACTCCCTTCTCCCTTCAAACCTAGGTTAAAGCCCTGTCAATGAGCCTAGATCCAGGTGGATCCTATCAGCAGCCATCAGGCCAGGTGCCAAGTAAACTGCCCCATGGTTGGAAAAGCCAAAATTTCTGCATTGTCGGGCTATGTATTTATCAGATGGGTTGTCCTGGTCCTCTCAGAATCCCTTCCTGATGGGATAAAGGAAAACACCACTTGTACTCTGGCACCGTCCATTAACCACCCTGTTATTTTATATATGGTTGGGATGTTTTAAAGCGTTCAGGGAACTAACTGGATTTTTAAGTGCGTGTGCAACATATGCATGTGTGTTTTAATACTTCCATCCATTTAGATCAGTTGGAGTCACCAAAATTCTTCTTTTTTGAAAATAAAGCTGTGTTGTGCTTAGACATGCTGAGCCAAATCTGTTCCTGGTGTTATTTCACTGACCGGACAAAGAATTGCACCAGAGATGAATTTGGTCTGGTACAGCAGCTTTTTTGCCTGGAGCAAATCTTTATAGCGGAGTTGTATTTCTCTCAAAAAATCTAAAAGGAACACTGACAAGATCTGCAGCTCTGGTGGTGTGAGCAGGTGCAGCGATATTAAATTATTTCTTATTAAATAGATTCAGCAACTTGAAGCTTGTAATTTTGTTTTGCTACGATTCTGTGACAGAGGCCTCTTGAAACAGGCAAAATGCGCATCCTGTAATTCCTTTTTCTGGTATTATCATTTTAAAGATTTTTGTTCTCACGTAGCTTGTGTTCTGGTTGTATTATTAATTTGGGCAACATCAGAGAAGTAGAATCCAATAATGTTGTACTTTTCCGGGGTGCTTTCCATGGTAGCTTTATTCCCATTAAAATGTTAGTTAGAATTAGAAGTAACCAGAAATGTTTTCCCGAAGTTCCATGCCCTTAATGCCTTGTGGGCTTGTCTGTTTGTTTTGTAGGTTTATTTCCTTTAAGACTCCAAGCTTAAGCTTGGAGACCCCAGCCATCACCATTGAGCCCAGCAGCTGGAGCGGCAGCGAGAGCCCTGCCGAAGACATTGAAAGAATGAGCGATTCTGCAGATAAGCCTATTGACAACGATGCAGAAGGTGTCTGGAGCCCTGACATAGAGCAGAGCTTTCAGGAGGCTCTAGCTATCTATCCACCATGTGGGAGGAGGAAAATCATCTTATCAGATGAAGGCAAAATGTATGGTAAGTGGTGCTCAGTTAGCCTTTGGAAATAATTGTCCCTGTACGAGCCATAAAGGCCAGCTTGTTTTTACATGCCGTTCCTGGCTCTGACTTTGGCAATTACAGAGTAAATCCTGATGAAATCAAGTTGAGAGACCTCCACTGGGCTGATGTATTGCTGGCACTTGGAAGCAATGTTAGTACATAACTGTGTCCTTAATGAATACTATAATTTGCCTAGAATGTTTAAAAGAAACTTTTAAATGTGTCATTCCTTGAGCACAGAAAATACTTAAGCATTTTTCATTTTTTTTTTTTATAAGTAGTGCAGAAATAGAAATGGGGAATATGGTGGCAGGATCATGTGGCAAAACAGGCAATGTTAAACTGCAAAGTGATCAAGTTCTCGTCATGTTCAGAATCCTCTTGACAGAAGAGGCAAGTTAGGGGTGCTTTTGTGCCTTTCATTATATTTTTCCCCCCCTTTTTTCAGCACAGACTGCTATAAATCAGATGACATGGTGACAGTGTTCCATAAAGACACGCTCCTGCGACTGATGCTGACATCTGCACGCACTAGCCATAGCTGTGTTGCTCTCATCCCTCATCGAAGCTCTCTCTCTCCCAAGGCCTGGCTGCCTTTTCTTTTCCATTTTGCAAACTTTTCTTTGTGGGCTGCAGAATGTCCTTCTGGCCCCTCACCCTGCAGCAGCTGCCAATGGTGGCCGTGCCCTGGGGGAGCTCAGGGAGAGGTGACCTCGCTCTCTACCTGGCCGTGTGTCCCGAGGCAGGCAGGGGGCCACGGGCGCAGCCCTGAGCAGATGGTGCTGCAGCTGCCACCAGCTGTGCCCCCGCAACCCCCCCGCATGAGGTCATGGAAACAGGGACACTGCTGCTGCCTCCGGCTCTTTGGGGGCCGGCAGTGGGACCGGCTCCCCTGGCCTCCCTTTGCAGCTGCCATGTGACCCTGGTGGCCACACGAAGTGTCGGGTCTGGAAAAAAGCGAGTTGTGATGAAGCATCTCAGCTGCCCTTGGCAGAAAGTTGCTGGGTCCCGGTTTCCTGCCCGGGTGTTTGCTTTTTTTGTTCTTTTTTTTCCCCATTTTTTGTTTCTTTTTTTCCTCTTTTTCCAACTTTCCCTCCAGAATACGGAATATAATTTCTCTTGTCCCCCCCCCAAGTAATTTCTGCTTGTTTTGTTTGCATTTTGTTGTTATTTTCCTTTGGCAATGGGATGATTTGCTTAATTAGAAGGTTGTGCTCTTTCTAGGGGGACATAAGCATGTATGTACAAACAAGCTTATTGTGTATTTATGCTCAAAAGCTCTACTTAGGTTTGAACAGCCTCATCAGCTCTAATAATGGTGGCTGCATTTTCTTAAATCAGGATTCACAGCAGTCACTCCTGAAATCTGATTTATGGTGTTCTAAAGCATTCTTTGTGACATAGTATAAATTAAAGAAATTAACATATTTCTCTATTCACGTTGACAGTCACTGATTTAATTTAATGGTTCTTTAATACCGAACCTTAACATTTGGTAAATTATATATACATAGGAAACTATTTATGCATATCTAATTGCTGATTACTACTGCTAGCTAATAATACCATAAACATATATGCACGTCTCATTTATTTATGCTCATTCTAAATCAAACCATGTTCACTTTCAATCAGAAAAAGGAAGTGTGTGTATTATGCTGAAAGCTTGACTTGGAGCATTGTCCTGGTCAGAAAAAAAAATGTGTTAAGAAGTGTGGGATCCTGAATTAGTAGAATTTACATGCTGACTTTGCAGTGGATGAACTCATGTTTTCATTCTCCAAGCTGAGTAACTGCTTTGTAGTGCTGGAGGATTTATTGAAACCATGCTAGGTTTCTGAGGACTTTATAATAGAGTCTTATGGCCATGAGAGCATAATTGTTCTCCAAGGATTTTGAAATCAAAACAGTGTAAGTGTTTTAGATTCTGTGTGGCATAATGAAAATAATTTAATGCCTTTTAGTGGCATACCAAGTTTATTTCACTTACAAGAGAGACATTGCAATATCTCTAAGCTTCCATAGTGTTGGGGGATATTGTAATGTCAGTAACTCGTGAACCATGTAAGACAAAAGGTCAAGAGAGCACCATTTCATTTTCTGACTGAAATTGCCTTTAGATGTAGGCACTAGAACAAATATGATCTTTACGGAGGCAAATACAATGATCACTCTGTGTGGATTAAGTTAAGCAATTGTACTTCTTTTCCTTTGGAGATGAGCAGGGAGTTTGCTCGAAGAAGCATTGTAAGTCTTTGCCTTTGATTTAATGAGAGCTTTGTGACATTCATGTAACCAGAAGCTGGAGTGTCTTTGCTGTTCTTTGTAGCAGTCGGAAGCACACTGGTGGATGTCCCTTACCTCTCCAGCAGCACAAGTCACTTCAGTTGTCTGCTACAGCTGTGATCTGGGGCTGGGAGGGAAGGAGAAGGGAAAGGAAAGGAAGGGTGTTTCCTTCCTTCTCTCCTCGCCTTCTGAAAAAGTAACTTAGGGCAGCAGACGGCGATGGGAATGAAAAGATTGTCTCAAGGACCACTGGTACCCCATGGCTGGAGAAGGAGGGAAGAGGGAGAGCATGCTGTGGTGCTTTGTTGCTCTGCAGCACACTTAGGTTGTAAGGACTAAGTCATGACCTGTGTGAAGCTGTGAGCGTTTTGAGCTGCTGCTCGCTCTGCCATCAGTCATAGGCTAGGGCTGCCTGAAGAAGCCCTCAGCTTCAAAATAAAAACTTAATGAAGCTCTTATTTTTTTAATTTATAGGAAATGATTGGGTAAGAAGCAAAGACACTTGTTTTGGTTCAGAGGGATCAAATTCCAGGAATCTTAGTTTGGAGATTCTTGAGAGACTGAGGGACAAGTGGTAAGGGTTCTGCAGGAAAGTGCAGCCTGCTGTTCCCATTTCCCCCTTCCAGTGTACTTCTGTGCTGGAGGTGATCTTACAGTTTTGGCTTTGCTGCTAGTATAGTGTGGATTAGTAAATGGAAAGAAAAAGGTTGAGGAAGGAATAAATAGAGGAAGGCTTTAAGCAGGGTAGGGGAACACATCCATAACTTGATGCTCTTACTCCTTATGGAAGTAGTTGAGCTAAGCTTGTGGAAGGCTCCTCTCTTAGACTTGTTTTCATTTGTCTTGCAAGATATTGATAAGGTATTTTTCATTTGTATTGTATAAAAATAAAATTGATAAACTGCAAGCTTCATCCATAGCCTGAGTTGGGGCACCCTATGATTTGTTTCAGAACTGAATTTCTGTGTCCTTGCCTACCTACATGTAGTAAAACTAGCCCATTAGAGTGCATTGGCTGTCCTGTATTTGTACTTTGCTCAAATTGTTGGTCTTTTGCTGTTGGCAGTTCAGTTACTCGTAGCAATTCCTGTGAACTCACTTGTTGGCAGGGTATTTGCCTGTGCTTGTCTTTGCCCCTTGGAGAGTGCTTTGGAAAAGATTAGAAGAATGAGAACTGCTGTGAAATGCAGCCATACTTCAATCCCTGGTGTTATACTGAAGACACTGGAGTTACAGTGGGAATGGGTTTGGCCACAGGTGTGTTTTGCTCTTTTTTGAAGAGTTGCCATACCTAGATGCAGCTTCAGTGCAGCTCCAGGGACACTGCCAAGGTAATGTGCATTCCAGTAAGCGCAGTGCCCGCAGATGTGCATTGCTAACTTAGCCTTGAGGTAGCAAAGACAGCTTTTGCCTTGAAGACAAGGAAGTAGGTGGATGTCGTTTGCATTGGATGTGTTTAGCTGTGCATCAGAACTGCTTAAGAGAGCATTAATGATTACTTAAGAAGGAAGCTCTGTAACGTGTTTAGTTGCTTTACAAAGAGGACTAAGTGCTGTTTAACGCAAGAAGGTGCGTAGCAGCCTTTCAAAACTGTTGTGTATATTTATTAGGTCGTGGATAAAATCTCTTGGCTTGAATTACCATGATAGTAAAGGAAAAAGGATACTTTCATAAAAATTTATCTTCAGATGATAAGACTTATGTACAATGAGTAATAATAGTCATTTCAAAGCACTTTGTATAAATTGAACTGATGCCTCAGCAAGAGAAATCCAGTTCTGTGGCTTATTTGATTCTGTTGGTAAGTGCTATCACTAGGTGTCTGAGTTTTTGTTAGGTAAATGCAAGGTGACTAGCTTTATGAAGAAAACAGTAACATGTTACAAATTATTTTTACTATTGGCTTTTAATTTTAAAAGTTCCATACAAGTTATTGCCTCTATAAAGACATCAGTACCTTATAAAGTTTCCACAGTATTAATTATATTTGAATGTGAATAAGGTATTTGGAATGATGAAATACCAGATGTGAGGTATCAGGTTGCACATTTATTCATCTGTTACTGCAGTGGTTTTACAGCAGTAGGCTCTTTTTGGTTTTCTTTCCCCCCCTTTTTTTTTTGATCTCACAGCAGCGTACACAAAATGCACTGGAGATAGGGCTTCTGTTATGAAAGTTACTATTTGGGTTTCTTGGATTGTAAACAAGTCTGTCTAGAAACATTCCTGCAATCCTGTGATTGCACTCTACATTACATCATCGCACAGTGCATGCATGAAGGCAGGCTGCAAGCGTGTGCTGAGCAATTGGCAGCCAGCTAAAGGTGAAGAGAATGAAGGCCCTGAGATATGGTGTCTGTTTGAAAAGTTACTACTTAAATTGCTCAGACTATGCACAAGTCTGCCTATAAGGATTTCTGTAATCCAGTAGTGTTCTTGCAGTATTATGCTGTGTTTGCAAGAAGGCAGCCTGCCTGTGTGAGATGAGCAGTTGGCACTTCTACCATTAGTAATGAAGGGTATGGGGCTTACTTGATGTCTAGGATTTCTGGAATGTGGGGGAACAAGATTTAATCTTTCTTGTTGGCTATCAAGAGTAAGTTGTCAACAGCTGAGCCTTGGCAAGATGGAGATTCTTTATGGCCCACCACTGCCATAAGTGGTTATTTGCATGAGAAAATGTAAGTGGG